GTATAGTATGTTATAAAAGCTTGCCATGGTGTCATTTACCACTGCGTATTAAACACTCAGGTGCCATCTTTCAGGATTATAGTTGATCCAGCACGCAGAATAGTATCATCCCTAGGACTAAGGATAACGTCTAACCTTGGAATGGCCGGACTTAATGTACCGCAGTATAGTCAAAATACTTGCCGAGGTCAGGAACACAAAATGAGACACAATGATGAGGAAAGCCAGAAGTCAAAGATACCATTAATCAAGGAAGTCAGAAAGAAAAACCAAAGTCAAATACCAGAAAAACGCAATCAGGAACATACTCTCAGATAACCAGCTAGTAGAAACCACAACAGGGCACTGACAAAAAGGTAATTTGGGTTTAAATAACCCTTCTTTGGCTGTAATTGGCTGTCTCTGATCTTAGATCACAAAACGTGCGTGCATCTATGACGTGACGCCGCACACACGTCGGCTCCATCTTTGAAGTGGGCGAAGGTAAGTTCGGTCCACATCGGCTAGGGTTCCTAAGAACGTCGCACCCGCTTGGGACCGGAACAGAGGGAGACTGGGTAGCTGCCCGCCGAGTCCAAGGTTAAGTTTAAAACATCTCTGATGGCGTGGCTGCTATGTTTGAGCGCAGCCACATCGGTAGAGATGTCGGAAGCCGTGACATTACCCCCCCCTTGAAGACCACCCACTGTATGGGCAGGACCAGGCTTGAGGGGAAATTTGGCATGGAAGGAACGGATTTTGTGGCCCTCGTGTATTATCGAAGCAGAAACCAAAGAACGATCAGCTGGCCCATAACCCTTCCAATCAACCAAATACTGCAGAGATCCTTGAAAAAATCTAGAGTCAATTATAGAGGAGACTTCGTACTCCTCCTGTCCAGAGACAACCAAAGGAGGGGGAGTGTCAGAAGGGGTGGTATACATGTTGCAGATACATGTAGGGATACATGAAACTTAATAGGTATACGCAGAGAGGTGGGGAAAGCCAGAGAATGAGACACATGATTAACCCTGCAAATTATTTGAAATGGGCCAATAAACCTAGGTGCAAACTTCATGCTAGGAACCTTGAGTTTAATATTGCGTGCGGAGAGCCATACCCCGTCACCCACCTGGTAACCAGGGTTGGTACCACGCCTCTTATCAGCATGCATTTTGAAACGAGCATCTTACATATTTTTTCTTTAACACTTTTTTTCTATTATAGGAATATATTCCAAAAAACTCAAAAGAAAAACAAATACTGGTGCAATATTGTCTAGAATAAATAAATAAGATGGCATAAATATATGTATTTGCATTCACAAGTGTAGCACCAGTGATTTTGGCTCAATATATCAGTGTTGTGGGATTTTGTGGGATCCCACTCCCTCTTTCATATGCTGCTGTAGCTTCAGTGGAGGGATGGAGGTAGCCAACTCGATAATTCTTTAAAGTGCTTTATTTTAAAGTGAACAAATATAGTAAAACCAATAAAATTTAAAATAAAGAGTTCTTACATTAAATTAAGTAAGTCCTTTGGTATAGCAATGTGCGTTTCACTCCTCAAGGGGGCTTCCTCAGTTGTTGTAATTCAATCTGTGTCCTTTCTGTCTTTTAAAACAGCCAAATACCCTCCGTTTATCAGGTGTCCTAGGTTGTCTGTTCCGGTCTTGTGTTCCATGATGAGACGCAGCGTCTAGGAGTTTCTGATGTATTTCAAGTCTTTTGTTTGATCGCTGGAACGCTTCCCTGCGTTTCTTTATAGTGACATATTTACGGTCTTCCATTCAATAGTTGGAACACATCCTTGCGTTCCAACATGATGATTTTCGTTTAATTAATTGTAATATTGTTTCTCTTCCCATCTTGACCACTCAATACGCGTTCCACCAGCTACCCTGTAATTTTGTTGTCCACAATAGGGCTCGGTATGGTGTATAAAGTACAGAGAGAGGGATAAGAGATAAGTTGTTAAATACATAAACAGTAATACAAAGTTCCATAAGGGAACCAAATAAACTTGCTAGGAGAGGCTTCAAGTAGGGATAACCCACAATGATTTAATTATATTAAAAAGTAGACAGGCCCACAAGGGCATATGAGTCCAACAGTAGAAGTATCTCCAATAGATAGAAAAAAAACTAATCTTTATTCAAATATACAAGAGATTAGAAATAAAAATAGCACATTGAAAAGCCATAAGGCTATGGTGCAAGATGGGGTCAGACAAAAATAGCCTAGAGAGATACGAAATCACTTAGAATAAACTAGACTACAGATCATTTCTTAAAAGGAGCAATTCACCAGGGCCTTGCACAAGGATGTCCCTTGATGCCATAAAGAGCCAAGAAAAGGTCTCGGTAATTAAGATTAAACCATACTTCAAGAGATTGCTCTTCTGGTGCTATACCAACTGGAAATAATAAAATGCATTTCACCCTTCACCATGCAGGTGAGCTTAATCACTTGAAGTTGTACCTAGGACCCTGTTCCTCTGCCTCCTCTCCATGTGGAGGGAAGGAGGAGTTTGCGGTTGCGTCCATACTTTAAACAAATTAAAAAAGATCCCTATATGGGTTCAAATCTCAGCAGATTACTATCAAGTTATAAAACACTTCTCAGAGGTAAGAAGAAATTAACTTTGTGACAAACACTCCTTACTCTGGAAGTTTATCACGTACTTCTGGAGGGGCCTGCTAGCTAGCTTCCTGCCCTTGGTCCGGGGTTTTGAACGACTTTGAAATTCACCAGGAGACCGCACTTTTTTGAGGGAAGGTGTCTGAGACTAAGGGGAATAAACACTACCCGAGACCCAGGTGGAGCACTTCGTATTACAGCAACAGGAGCTCCCGAAAGTTGACCGGCCAAAGCACCAAACGCCCTGAACTGTTTTGGGCACAGAACCACGTGTGCGGCCGACAAGGTGGCGTTTCCCCTATACTGCATGGATCTGAGTGCTATTTGGAGAACTTGGGTGCTCAGATTAGGGCTATTTAAGGATGTAATATTTGTGGGGGTTCCTATATGTCTTATATATATATTTTATGTATGTTATGTTTTTATGCTTAGTCATGCTGACTCAAATTCATGGGCGTGTTGTGGGAGTGGTCTGGGCGTGTTTTACTGTATCCTTGTTGTGTATATAAGTGGGCCATCTGGCCATAATAAAACAAGTCTTCTTATACCCTTCATCAAGTTTAGGCTGATGTTTGGTATACCAGAGCTATAACCACTGCTTCACTTTGGACCTGGGAGAACTACAGCAGATATACTCAGTCGGAGTATAGGGGATCTGCTACACTGGTGATAGCGGTGGGATTATTTTTCCAAATGGATATCCCACACTAGAGAAGGCAGTTAAGGGACCAGCAGCGTACCTGTCTAAAGAGGAACTCGGGAGATGGAGCGAGCTAACCCCCGGGGAGCATCCCCCTGTGAGTAAGAGTTCCAAAGGAGACTGCTGAAACAAGACCATACACTTGGGCCAAGGCGTTCTGTAGAAGAGGAGCTGGTATAGAGAGATGTGTTACGGCAAGAGCTCTGGCACGAGGCCCTGGAGTGGGCGCTAGCTTCATGGGGAAAGAGACTCCTCAGTCCGGAACAGCGCAAATGGAAACAAGAGACACCGAGAATGCCTTTCCTGGGAAAGCAGCCTCTTAAAGAGTGGGTCATGGAAATCCACCACCTGGTCTGGCTGGGATTGTGGCTGGATGTGGCATACCGGGTGCTACTGTGGTACTCGGTCCAGAGGTGCCCTTGGATGACTGATGGCGATATACCAGAGGGAGACGACTATGACTGGTCTGCTATGGGAGGCATTGGAGGAAGACCGTGACTTTGGCAGCTCAGGAGTCTCGGTATTGGGACATCCAGGAATACCGAGTGGACGCACTGGAGCTCCCTGTTACTACGGGGCTGGGACCAGATACCACCCGTCTGGTCATGGCTGAATGGGAAGTGGAGCAAGACTACCAAAATCTACTAGACTCGGTTCAGCAGCAGGCCCTCGATGCCGAGCAAGGGATGAGCTGGGTAACTAAAGAAGTGGAGATGATCGGTCCCTCTCCACAGCGGCAGTGTATCCTGCAGGAAGAGGAGACAACCGGTGTCTCTCTCCCCAGTGGCAACCAGAGTTACAGAGAGAGGAGAGTTTCGGTCCCTCATCCGCGCAGCAGCAAGCATCCCTGGGAGTGGACCGCTGGTCTCTGCCCACAAGTCCCTGATGTTTTTGACACGGGAGGTGTGGATGAAACCGTGGTTCCCACACCTGGATCACAGGGATGCTGGGCAGTCTGCCCAGATCCCCAACTCTCTAGCATGGGAGCCCAGGTCACCCTAATATTGTCCCTTCAGCAGAGTGAGTGTCTGGGATATGGTGCAATCAGTCTCCCTCCCCAACAGCCCTGTGTATCTCTGAGAGTGGAGAATTGCGCCCTTCCCCCACCCCCCAGCAACAATGTGGTGCCTTACGAGGGGATTATAGCAGGGATTATAGCAGTTTCTTTACCCAGAACCTGGATGTATAAGCTGGAGCTTGGGGCAGGAAGCCCTCTGGATCACTGTGGAAAAGGTCAGAGACTAACACAGACCCAGACCGATAGGAGGACTTTGGTCTGGTCAGTCTCCCCAGGAGGGGGAAGATATGTGACAAACGCTCCTTACTCTGGACGTTTGTAACAAACTTCTGGAGGGGCCTGCTAGCTAGCCTCCTGCCCAAGGACTATGGGCCACATACAAAGACCCTGTTCGGGAGTTAAATCTCCCCAGCCGCCATAAGCAGCTTTCCCTGGGTGCCCGCTGGTTCGGCACTTTCCCTTCATATGAATGGAACCGAACACTAGCTCCCTGGTGGATGTTCACATGAAGAAACCCAAGAATTGTCCTCAGTGGCGATCGTTATGGAACTAAATTCAGCATGAGGACTTCATGGGTTCCCGGTCACCTCAGCGGGACTTAGCTGTGAATGTTATGAAACTGTCTTTGGCATGAGGTGACCGCGTGTCTCCCGGGCAACTTGGTCCGGGGTTTTGAATGACTTTGAAATCTGCCAGGAGAGCGCTTTTTAGAGGGAAGGTGACTGAGACTAAGGGGAACAAACGCTACCCGAGACCCAGGTGGAGCATCCCATATTGCGGCAACAGGAGCTCCAAAAGTTGACTAGCCAAAGCACCAAGCGCCCTGGAACTGTTTTGGGCATAGGACCACGTGTGCAGCCAGCCAGAACTTTGACACGGTGGCGTTTTCCCTACACAACTCAATTTAATGTAAAGATAAAACAGAAAAGAAGAAAACAAAAAGTGCCGTGCAGGGCTGGCCTTAGGCCATTAGGTGCCCTGTGTGAAAAATCTTGAAAGTACCCTACTCTAGCCACATATCCTACCGGCCACACCCTCCCTTTAATACTTCTCACCATTTAAAACCTCCTTATTACTCCCCCTCCCCCCCCCCAAGAAAGAATAAAAAGCTGTATCAAAATACTAATTTTACATAAGTGCAATATAAATATAACTCTATCTAGGTGCCCCTCCCATTTGCAATTAATATTAGAAAATAATGAAGATTTATTCACATTTTTCCAGGGCCTCCCACAATATCATGGAGGAGACATTCTCATAGATTGGAGTAAAAAAAGTTTTACTTAAAGGGACACTATTGTCACCTTGACCAATTCATCTCAATGAAGTGGTCTGAGTGCAGTGGTCCGGTGTTTTTTTGAGCAACTTCAATGTTTAAATTGCAAGCTTAAGTTCACCTCTAGTGGCTGTCTCATACTGAGGTAGACCTTGCAGGTTCTCAGAAACACACTGCACTCAGACACCTGATCTCTCTACTCACTGCTCAGCGGGGGAGCAGCTACACAGCACAGAGAGTCCAGGCAGCAGCTCCCAGCCTGCAGAGACAGCCTACAGCTCAGGGAAGTGAGGGATGGGGTAAAGGCTTCAGGGAGGCACTTGGGTACACTGAGTCACTAGAGAAACTGAGACCTGGGAACACAGACACTAGGGTACGCTTGGAGACATGGGGACACAGACACTTGGGGACACAGCTCAGTGTCCCCATGTCTCCTAGTGTCCCCTAGTGAAATGGGGTTATGGGGACACAGACACTGGGCAACATGGGACAAAGACATGGGGACACTGGGAGACATGGGGCACTAAGACACTGTGAAACATAGTTACACTGATGTATAGTCTGTGTCCCCAAGTGTCTCAGTGTTCCCATGTCTCACAGTGTCCCCTAGTGACATGGGAACACATGTCTCACAGTGTCCCCTAGTGACATAGGGGTACAGACATTGGGCAACATGGGGACACTAGGAGACCTGGGAGCAATCCATCTATACAGCAGAATCAAACTGTAAGTAGTTTTTTGGTGATTTTACAGAATTTTCTCTTATGTCACTCCTTGTGATTTACATCATGTGATGTCACACATACATAATTTGTTATGCAAATTAGTAAGGCCTGTATTTTTTTCCAAGAAAGGTGGCAACCATAGGCGTGCGCAGCCTATTGCATTAGGGTGTGCACCCTAAAGCACAAACACACGCCGCGCGTGTGTGTGTGTGTGTATATATATATATATATATATACACACACACACTCTCACAGACACACACACACTCACAGACACACACACACTCACAGACACACACACTCACAGACACACACACACACTCACAGACAGACACACACACACTCACAGACACTCATACACTCAGACACACACACACACACTCACAGACACACACTCACACACTGACACACACACTCACAGACACACACACACTCACACTGACACATACTCACACACTCACAGACACACACACACTGACACATACTCACACACTCAGACACACTGACACATACTCACACACTCACAGACACACACTCACACTGACACATACTCACACACTCACAGAAACACACACTGACACATACTCACAGACACACACTCACACGGACACATACTCACACACTCACAGAAACACACACTGACACATACTCACAGACACACACTCACACTGACACATACTCACACACTCACAGAAACACACACTGACACATACTCACACACTCACAGAAACACACACTGACACATACTCACACACTCACAGAAACACACACTGACACATACTCACACACTCACAGACACACACTCACACTGACACATACTCACACACTCACACTGACATACTCACACACTCACACTGACACATACTCACACACTCACACTGACATACTCACACACTCACAGACACACACTCACACTGACATACTCACACACTCAGACACACACTCACACTGACATACTCACACACTCACAGACACACACTCACACTGACATACTCACACACTCACAGACACACACTCACACTGACATACTCACACACACACTGACACACACACACACAAATTATTATATTTTAATTTAAAAAAAAAAATGTCCACCCAGCCTCCTACCTGGAGTGCTGGTGGACTTTTCCCTGGGGTCCAGTGGGGGCGGGCGCCTTTCCGCAGTTCAGCCGCGGCGAGGGAGCTCTCTGCTGTCTGCTCCCTCTCGCCGCGCGGGCTGTCTGCTGCAGCTGGGAGCCGGAATATGACGTCATATTCCGGCTCCCGGCATCAGCGCGCGGCGAGAGGGAGCAGAAAGCAGAGAGCTCCCTCGCCGCGGCTGAACTGCAGGGTGGGTAGAATCATCACCTCTTGCCCTCCCATGACAGGGGCAAGAGGTGAAACAGGGGGCACTGAGTGCCTGCAGGAACGCTGTTCCTGCAGGACTCAAACCATAGGCGTGCCACGGGGATTAGGGTGTGCCCAGGCACACCCGGCACACCCCGTGCGCACGCCTATGGTGGCAACCTTAACTACTCTTCAAATACTCTTGCTTAAGTATATAAATATAAGAGGGATATATGGAAACAAAACTTGTGTGGACTAGCTGAAATGAAATTATTTAAAGTAATGCTGACTTTGGTCTCTCTAACGCTGTGGCATATTCTTCTACACTCACTACATCCACCTTTTCTCTATCTCAGACTATATACCAGGAGCTTCTGCCTGCTAGTAAAAAGGTAAGGAGACAAATGGACATGTGAGTGCTAGGGGACAGTCCTTAGAAAGCATGGAGCGAGCGCATCATTAGACGCATTTATGCCAAGCTCAGGATGCTGTTGGCCATCGTGCATGATTGGTAGGCAGCCTGAAATGCATTCATGCCAGGCTAGCATTCCAATTCTTTGGGCAGACATGCCTCCTTTTCAGGCATGTTCGTCCCTTTCGGGAGTTCTGGCTACATGATCCGCGTCAGTGGCCCACCCTTTTACACCGCCCATTGACTCCCTGCTTCACTGGACACTGCTATTAGGGGGTATGGATTTACTTGAAAGATGAAATCATAAATTAGAGATAGATTAGCATATTTTAAGAGAATCTGAATTTTTTTATGGCTGAATCCTGTGTTTCCCTCCTGCAACATCTCCACCAGATACGTAACACTTGAGAGGTATGACTGTTTCAGTGTTTTTGGTCGATAAGATTCTGTACTTAGGCCCCTCATAATTGTCAGCACTAGGCCCACTGGGCTCTTAATCATCTGGCCCTGCCTACAGGATTGTAATGGTTTGAGCCTGCTAGCCCTGATGGATTTGGGGCAATTACAGACACTTAATAGATATAACAGGTCAAAGAGTACTAACCTGCAGCAGTCTGTAGCTCAATTCTTGACCATGCTCCCAGCTTTCAGACAGGATTCAGGAGGGTGTCATAGAGCAGCAGGGGGAGGAAAGCAGTGCTGTGCTGACACTCCTCCAAGGGTAATCTACAGGCAGCACAGAGGCCATCAAAGTGCTGTAAAATGCAGGCAGCCAAGGACTAGAGGGGCTTAGAGGAACAGGCTTACTGTATGAGTAAGCACAGGGGGCTCTAAGATTCTAGAGTGAGTGTCTGCTCCCCTTGACTCCTCCTCCTTAGTCCCTTTAATATGAATGCCTCTAATCAGGAGCTGGGAGTTCACTGAAGCCAGGAATGATCTGTGTGCTTCTTCAGCCTGGCTACTCCCCCATGTTACCCTGAGTGCCACAAAGGGAGCAAGGGAAGGATTAACAAGCCCTAGTGTCCGAGCATGTGAGAGCTGTGTTGGTTGCCCGGTGCCCCTGTTGCCACAGTGCCCTGTGCGGCCGCACAGCTTGCACACCCCAAATGCCGGCCCTGGTGCCTTGTAGAACCGCTGGTGGCTTACACTTAAACTTTGAGTGCATAGAGATGTGTTAAAGGACCACTATAGTGCCAGGAAAACATACTCGTTTTCCTGGCACTATAGTGCCCTGAGGGTGCCCCTACCCTCAGGGTCCCCCTCCCGCCCGGCTCTGGAAGGGGGAAAGGGGTTTAAACTTACCTTTTTCCAGCGCTGGGCGCGGAGCTCTCCTCCTCCGATCCTCCTCTTCTCCTCCCCGTCGGCTGAATGCGCACGCGCAGCAAGAGCTGCGCGAGCATTCAGACGGTCACATAGGAAAGCATTCATAATGCTTTCCTATGGACGCTGGCGTGCTCTCACTGTGAAAATCACAGTGAGAAGCACGCAAGCGCCTCTAGTGGCTGTCAATGAGACAGCCACTAGAGAAAATAGGGGAAGGCTGAAGTGGTCTGGGTGCCTAGAATGGTCCTTTAAGCACTCATCTAATTGTTGTTACTTATTAGCAATTTCAGCCACAAAAACATCTAACTAACATAAGGGAATATAGTAATATGTTAGCAACTGATTGTTCTGGAGAACACAATCATCAGGTAAAGATAGAAACTGCTAGGGAAACCTCTACTTATTAAAACAGATTTTCCGTAATTAAAGTGAAATCAAGTGCATTAAAGGGATCAAAGTTGTGGTGATCAAAGTTTCTGAAGTAAAGTAACATAAATAAGATAAAGGTACAACTGCACAGAACACCACAACTCTTAACTGTCCATATACATCTTAGAAGTGAGCAAACCTAGTGAGCTAGCAGCTAAGATAAAAATATGTGCAAACATTTATTTCAAACAGAACTCCTGTTGTAATATTCCCAACTGAAATGTGGCCAGGAGCAAGTCCTAACTGCACTCAGAACTTCTATGTGAATACTTCCCATTAAACTAAATAATAAATTAAAATATAAAGTATGCACATATAGATAAGAGGCTCAGATAAGGTTAGTAATTAACTAACTGCTAATTCAAGAGAGAGGACACTTCCAGATCTAAGCC